AAAAAAAAAAAAAAAGAAGACACAGTGGGAGAGGAGCATCTCTACACAGCGCCTCTGCTCATCTTGCTTTCAGTACTTCATGATTGCATTCTGCACATTCCACATATCTACAAGTGGTTGACTGGCTCGTAGCCATTTCTTTTTTGCAAAATGAAAAAATGTGAGGCAAGTTAAGGAAATAGGGAAATGTAAATGGGAACAGCAAGCAAACTATACCTGGAAATCATAAAAGTAATAGCATAATGAGATCTTAGTGTAGAACAAGAATTTTTTTTAGAAAGCTAGCAGAATATAGGCTTAAGAGCTTTGGGCCTTGGAGTTAGATAAGACCTGAATCAAATTCCAACTCTGCCGCGGACAAGATACATTACATTGGTCAAGTTACTTTGCATCTCCAAGCCTCTGTGTTTTGTTTGTTTTGATCTGTAAAATAATACGTACCCCTTAGGGGTTTTGTGATAATTTAGATAAGGATCTCTTATACTTAATATAATGTTTGATAGATAGTAACTACTCAAAAGAAGATAGTTATTATTATTGTAGAGGCTGTTTTGTTCCTTATTATTCTAGAAGCCCAGTCAGTAGGTAGTGGTACTAGCTAATAACTATCAGAATCTTTTCTTTGTAAACAGTGAATTATTCAGAGGGTTTAGTACTTCTCTACATTACCTACAGAAGCATATTCAAAAGAAGACCATGCATTTTAAAATTATTTTTAATGTGTCTCTTACCTTTGCTTTTATTATCAATTCCTCATGCTTACAGATTAGCTCCTCATTGTCTGAAAGTGATGAACCTAGACTTTGTTCCTGTAAATCTCTTATGGTTTTCTGAAACCAACAAGTAACCTAGGTAAGAAGCACAAAGAGAGACGAAATTTCAAATGATTAGAATAAGTAAATAGAAATTAAAAATATTTCCTTAACCTTTTCAAAACTTAAGCTATTTCAGTTTCTTTCTACATAAGCTCATCTCACATATTAAATTAATATGATCAGGTTTGTTTTTTCTTCATTTCAATCTCTACGTAAGAGAAAAAAATAAAGTAATCCCCCAAAAGCATGAAAATGATACATCAGTTCAGTAGATTACATGGAATGAAGGAAATAATTCAAAATCTCCTAATAACAAAGAACCAGAATAGATTCCCACAGTCTATAACTCATGCATTCTTTTAGAATATAAATCTTCCCTGAATAAAAATATGAATGTAAGTATGGAGTTACATAAACCTACATGAAGATATTAGCATATGTAGAATTGTATTTCTACTATAAAATGACAATGCAAAAATATTTCAGCAATGCAATTGCTGAAAATCTGTATTCAGAAAATAAATGGAGAAATTAATATTCTACTGATATTATAAACAGCTAAGGGCATGACTCACATTCATTTAGACTTGATTTACAATACATGATTTACACAGTGTTGAAACAACAAATAGCAAAGGACTTGAAAAAAGCTGTACATTTTTAAATGGTGACATAAGTAGACATGGAGCCCCTGGATACAGATTCCTTATTCCAGTTAAAGCAAAGAGAGTTTTACTCTCAAGTCCTACAGTGTTATCTCCATGATCACATCACAGCTACTGATCCTTAAGAGCCCACAACATGCTAGACAGTTTGCTACTTGCTTTTTGGGCATCATCTCTATTTCTCTCAACAACTCTCTAACAAAAGTGTGATATCTTCATTGTAGAGATGAGGAGAGGTGAAGCAGCTTATCCAGGGCCATACAGTAAGTGGCAGAGCCAGGTTTGTCTCCAAACCTACATTATTCTTTTCACCGTGCCGTGCTGCCATCTTAGGTAACCTAAGTCTTACAGCCCTGGCCATCAGGGGTACTACTTCAAGCCTGAAGAATGAATCCTGACATCCCATTCAAAATGGTGGGCAACGCCCAAACGTTGGACTATGTTTTTTTTCCAGCCTAGGTTGTCTTGCCTACAACAACCTCAGGATTTCTCTGAACTCCTATAACATAGAGAAATGTGTGAAGCAGATAGTCAAAGAGAAAGCTAGATTAGTCCTGAAGCTCCTCATAATAAATGCACACCTCCCTTCCCCCCCCCACACACAAGTTAGGAGTTACCTAGAATAGGACATTCCATTACCATTACAGGGCTGATATCACAAAACTGATTATGAGATCAAATGGTCTATACCAACACTTAGCATTTTTCAGCATGGAATAAGCAGTACAGTTTGGGGTAAGAGAGTTTCTCCAGCTTTCTGCTAACTGCAAATCTTTGTTAACCAGCATTTTTGGCTACCACCAGCGCAATTTAAAAATAATGGTAACCCTGTAGCAGTTTACATATGAAGTACACCTCATTTTTTTTTTCAGAATATTTGGTAACCTGTACACAATATACACATTAGCCAATCTCCATATCTAAAGTATTGTATATGTATTTACAATTATTTGAAGATAATCTATCTTTCTGTTATCCCAATTAGAACTATGTGATATGTACAATATGCGTATTAGAATCCACAGAGAGTATCTTATCAAGAGCTATAAAATTTATTCACTAATTAATTTTTATAAAAATAGTTTCTCACAAAAGATGCAGTGAACCCATATAAAATCACAACTAGAGGAATGATTTAAAGGTTTCATCAAAGAAACATGGATCATGAATATAACTAAGTTTAAGAGAGCATTGACTAAGTACTGGGAGTGAGTTTTATTTTTTCTTAGCTAACATGGGAGGAACTCAGAAATCTCAAGAATGTTTAATAGGGAAAGTTAATATAGAATCTGAGTGAATAAAAACTGGGTACAAACAGGTGTTTGCTAATCTCTAAACCCTGAACCCTCAGATAATCCTATTCAGTTTTGTGAGTCAAAGACTTGTCATCTAGCACATGCCAGCAGTGATGAAAGCCGGAGAGGAGTGAGTTGTTTCGATTTTTAAAAGTTATCTACTGACCTCATCCTCTAGATTTGGCAAATACTATTCAACCCCCAAAGGATACTATTCCTGTATGGCAATACTATTCCCTATTAAGAGAATGCAGTTAAAGATCTACGTTGGTGTTCTGTGTATTCTGATCACATACCTTCCTGACAAAGCATGCTGACTCTTTAGATCTACACAATTTTACTACCAAATGCACCCTGGGAGGAAACATAAAAACAAGTTGGCATAAAACTCAGAAGTAAGTAGTTCATTGTCAGGGTGTTACATCTCATCATGAGGTATCATACACATGAGCAGCCTTTTAAATCAGATTACTGTGTGGTACTGTAGCATACACACAGAATAGGCTCTCAGAGTCCTTCTGATGTAAAAGCACGACACCCTAAGTTACTGAGAGTATGTCAACCATAATATCCTGCCACCCAATAAATCAGTCATTGCATCCCACAAGTAGCTACTGCGGACAGCTGCATAGATATTCCAAGAGCACTTTTTATAAGTATTTAAATTATATCAGCTGCTGTCCAAAAGCCTGAGTGATAAAGTACAGTAAATGATGCATCAGGACATTCTGTAGAACATGGTCCTTGCAAAAGGATGAAAACATGAGCCAAGGATTCAGGGGATGCAGAAAAGAAGGAAGAAAAAAACATTCAGAGTATGCCCTGGAAATCAATTCTGGGCAGTGATGGATTAAGGAGGTAATTAGAACATTTTTCCTTTCTCTTCTCAGTTCCTACCTTTCAGCTTGAACTAAGCAATGTGTTCATGATCATCCCAGCAGTTTGACATGACATTCTAGGTACTCAGTGCCCAGTGGAGGTAGAACTAAGATAGAGAAGGAATGGAGATCTTTTTTTGTGGGGAGAAGGGGAACACCTATCAGAGAGTAAAGGGAGATAGAAATAAAAAGGAAGTCAACAAAGATTAAAAGCAGGAGCAAAACCAAGAGCTGCCTTGGAAATGAAAGCTGCCAGGAAAACTCACTCAAATGCTGTATGTAGACCTGCACTGTCCTGTATGGTAGCCGCTAACCACACATGGCTATTGAGTACTTGGATTGGGCCAAGTCTAAATCGAGATGTGCTCTAAGCATAAAATACACAGCAAATTTCACAGACTTTGTATAAAAAATAATACAAATACCTTGTTAAGAATATTAGTATTGATTAAATATTGAAGTACTATTTTAGGTATGTTAGGTTAAATAAAATGTATTATTGCTTTTCACTTTTTATGTGACTTTTTACCTTTTTTTAAAAAGATTTTTATTTATTTATTTATTTGAGAAAGAGAGAGTGAGTGAACAGGCATGAGCAGCGGGGAGAGGCAGAGGGAGAAGCAGACTCCCCGCTGAGCAAGGAGCCCGACACAGGGTTTGATCTCAGGACCCTGAGATCATGACCTGAGCCAAAGGCAGATGCTTAAGTGACTGAGCCACCCAGGTGCCCCAACTTTTTACTTTTTTAATGTGGCTACTAGAAAATTTGAAATCATATATGTGACTTGAATTATATATCTTTATTGAACAGTTCTGCTACTCAAGGATATTCAGACTATCCATATTGGTTAAATATAGATCTAAGGACTGAGTTTTAATTAAGGGCAATTTAAAATAACAGAGTCAAGAGAATGGTGAAATGAGATCTCAGTTGGTAAGCATTTATGGACCACTGAGGGGAGGATAAGGAAGTAGAACTAATGATACTTCCAAAGAAGTTTATTGGTTCAGTAAAGGAGAGATCTGGAACAGCTTTAAGGAAGCAGAGGCAGCAACAGGGCCTCCCCACACTTTTTTCTTTATTTATTAGATGAGACTTAAGCATTTTTTGCAGGAACAGTGACTGAAGATACATGAAGGAGAGTGGATGCAGGAACATATCAGGAAGAGGAGAAAGGTTAGAAGAGAGCACTAACTAGGCAAGGAAGGGCTAGTTTTTGCTTATTGGACAACCCATCCCCTCCTCAACACCCTGCTGAGAAATAAGAATGAAGAAAGTAGGAGAAATGAACCCCTCTCCTTTGGCAGAAAGGGGTCAGGGACTACTCTAGGCAGGTTACAACTTACCTCATGCAATCTTTACATCCCTCCTCTGTGGAGAGATTTTCTTTTTCAGCAGATGAGGAAACATACCCAGCATGTGTGTTATGAGTTTAGCAACTTGCTTAAGGTCACACAACCAATAAGAGGAAAGCCCCACAGACAGAAATGTCATGGTCAGAATTCACGCTTTCTTGTTTGTTTTCCTTCTCCTCACCTCCATATGCAGAACCAGAGGATTCCAGAGGACAGAAATAGTTCTTATCAGGCTATTTTACGAACATTCTTAAGATAAAAACCAAAACGCAATACCACAGTTAGAGTTTAACACGGAAATAGGGTCTGTGTACTACCACGGGGGTTCAGTGGAAATATTGCCTTTGAGAGCACAGACGTGGGTCAGGCCCTTTAGGAGGATTGCCTGAGAGGAAGAGGCCAGCTATGGGCAGAGGTGACAGTAAGCACAAATCGTGAATTCCAAAGACAGGACTAATACATGGGAGTGCCAGTGATAGAAAACGCACTCTGACAGTCAAGAAGAGAAAACTCAGGTGGCAAGAAGGTGAACTTCTGCTGCAGCCCAGAGCGATGCATGAGACTGCCAAAAACTACCAGTCTCTTTTTGTGCAATTTGTTCAACAATCTGCGATCAGATCTTATTTTTTGAACTTTGTTTCAAGGTATGCAGGAGGAGGCGAGCCAGCAATAAGTACTTCAAACCACCTTAACAGCAATGCTTAAGGGAGAATGAAAATCTTTTCAAATTACTTTCATTTTCTTTTCCATGTGCAGAACAATTCTTGACAAATAACCAGTTACTACTAGAGACGAAAACTGATAAGGGGGAGGAAAAAGCATTAGTTACTTATCTTCCT